AAAAGAAAGTTATACTGTTTTGTTTTGACCTTAATCCATAATATAAACATAAGTATTAAAGTAAATAAAGTCAAGAACAAAGGGCAAATAATATATGAGGAATATATTTTTATTACACAAATGTTCACTGCTCTTAAATAAAATTATAATTTAGATGTATTACTTATGAAATGTAACACTTAAAATGCATACAACAAAATATATGATAGCTTTCAAAATTAATAATGTATTTAAAAATATTGAAATTGGAGAAAAAGTAATTTTTGAGTTCGTTAATAAAATAAAGAAACAAAGTTCCTAAAATTAATGCATTCAAACCAAATTTTAAAACATCTAGAATTTTTTAAAACTATTTTAGCCAATAACTTTAAATGTTTCAATTTCAAGAAATTATACTTATACAATTAGTTTATATATAATAAAATTTCTAGCTTAAAAATAAGATGAAAATAGAAAATTTTGATTTTTCTTTTTAATAAAGAAATGAAACAAATCAACTCTATAATTTACTCCTTGACATTTTTAGCTCTTCAACTTAAAGTAAGCAAAACAGAAACTGCTTATGAATTAAATGAAAAAGATTATTACTCAACGTGTATAAGCCCCTTAATATAATCAATTTGGTTTTCATTTTATAAAACTTTAAAGCATGCATAATTTTTATTTAGAGCCTTTTTCTTGAAATCTATAAATATATTAACAAAACTCATTATTTACTCGTAAAAGAATATTTAAACTATTTCCAGCTTGATTAGAAATTTCTACACTATTAATAACACTTCCACACAAAACGATTAAGTTATTTATTTTGCAAATTTAACAAAATTTTTATGAAGCAACAAATATTCCATTCACTAAAATATTAACTTTCTAATTCTAGTAAGTTTTTTGTGTGGACTTTTTGTTCCATAAACTTTTATCCTGAATAAAAAGATAGATGAAAACGTAGACCAAAAAAATAAGAAAAAAAAGAAGAAAAAAATAAAAACAAATCGAGGAGAACACCATTGTTAAGAATTGTTGAAATTATTTAAACCGTGTATGGCGTTATTTTGTAATTACACAAACCCTATTTCATATCTCGGATTTGTATTACAGTGTTTCAGTGCTGTCTAATATAAACCTCAATCATTTTTTAAACTTGGTTGTAATCAACACATTTAATAACATTCACAGATTAAAGAGACAGTAATTCAATCACGGGAACACACGCTGAATTCGTTGTCTTGACTGATGGGAAACAAACTGTGAATGAAAAAAGGGAATTTCTGGCATAAAAGGGAAATTCCAGAGTTTCATGCTGGTTACAATATGAAATTTTAAGAACCCTCTTAGGGGACAATCGTAAATCATGTCACACTTGGAAAGAAGGGTTTGGGTTTAATGAAATTATAACACATTGTGACAAGGGGGAGGGAGTTCATATAATATTGAAAATAAATCGATAAAATGTTTTTATACTACACATAAGAAGATAAGTTTTTCGCTAAGAAAAGTACAAATCTAATCATTATTATTGCTATACTCATAAACGTCTTTAGAAGTAAGTTTTGAAATATGATTTTTACATGTGTATATTTCTGAACTACTATGGCATGTTCCTATAATATAGCGTTACATGCAAGAAAAAGGAGGAAGTGGGTATGGTAAAGTATGGTCCTTTGGGACAAAAGAGAAGGAGGGGTCAAAAATGTTGAAATTTTTTTTTGAATATATTGAATATTGAAGAATATATTGAATACTGTGACATATATCACTCACAGATGGCCGATATTTATTTGATATAAATATATCAAATAAATATAATAATATTAACGAATAAATTAAAATAAAATTGGATATAACAAATATTTCGGACATTCACCAAAGCGACTATGTGATTGTTGACATTCACCGGTGAGTCAGAAATAAGTGTATTTAGCAAATATTTCGGACATACACCAAGCGACTTCGTGAATGTCGATGTTCTCCAGCTTTCGGTGTTCACCGTGTTTCACATATATATTAATATATATATATA